CAAGCACCCCGACTTCAAGATGAACAACAAAGACGCGCTCGACAACATCCGTCGAAAGGCCCCCGCGCCGCGAAAACCCAACCAAGCCGCCGCGGAAGAGTTTGCGCCCTCGCAACAGATGGACATGGTTAGCGGACAGTTGATGGCCACGCAAGCTCAACTGCATGCGCTCGAGAGTCGCTACAGTGAACTGAGCATCCACCATTCAATGCTTTTGCAAGAGGTCATCGGGCTACAAAAGACGGTTGTCAACCACGAGCATGTCATGCAGCAGATCATGACTTTCCTACACGGCGTTGATGCGACGCAAAGGAGGAACAGCAAGCTCGTTTTCCCCAACGGCACCGACTCGCAGAACGGCAGCATGGAGCCCGCCGCAGCCAACGATGACGATAACCCCGCTTCTCCATTGCAGCACGCTTCTAAACTTCTAAGCGAAACAAACGCAGATGCTATGCTGAACCCCAGAAACCTGGAGCAGATGAACGAGATCACCATGCGGATGAACGGCACTTTGACAACCCCACCACCAGATATCGCGCGAGCAACACTGCGACCGACGAGCCGCGGACCGCCATCAGCAACTTCGACCAACTCAATGCGCCTCGAAAACCTCGATAACCTCGTTTACCCTGTCGGTTCCAACCAAGGTATTGACCCCATGTACAGCGAGCACATCAACAACATTCCCTATGCTGCCCCGCCCAAAGCAGTAGAATCCAGCGAACCCAGAATGCCAGAGCCAAAGAGGAAAAATGCTATTCCAGATCCAGGATGGATTCGACCGCCTCAGATTCTGCTCGTTGAGGACGACCCCACGTGCCGTCGAATTGGAAGCAAGTTCTTGTACGCTTTCCACTGCTCCATCGATAGTGCTGTAAGTCATCTACTCTCGTCGTTTGTACGCCATGCTAATTGAATCCAGCTCGATGGTTTGGAAGCTGTCAACAAGATGAACGCTGGCTCAAAGTACGATTTGGTCTTGATGGATATTATCATGCCAAACCTGGACGGTGTATCAGCATGCCACTTGATTCGACAGTTTGACACAACCCCAATTGTGGCTATGACTTCTAATATCCGGAGTGACGACATCTCCATGTACTTCCAGCATGGTAAGAGGAATTCATTCATTTTCAGTCTCTGTACTAACATCTTTAGGTATGAACGACGTTCTCCCCAAGCCGTTCACCAAGGAAGGTCTTCTACACATGCTAGAGAAGCACCTTGTTCATCTCAAAAAGCCAGTCGCTCAGGCTGACGGAACCATGGTCGCGCCCCAGCCTGTGCAAATAGCGCGTCAATTGGTGCTCAAAGAGGAGGATTCTCCAGCTAAATCTCCACAGACGGTCAGCAACTGGAACTCACCCAACCAAATGCCGGGCGTCTCTCCTGTAGGCAGCACAGTTCCGGACGACTTTGCGCAGGCAATGCGAGGCCAACCAGTCCAACACCCAGGTCCATATGGAGTGAACCCCATGCATGGGAACATGGGATACAGTACCTCACCACACATGCAAATGCAACAGCAGCAACAATCACAACTAGCGCCGGGTCACCGCCGTCAAGTCTCGGAAATATCTGGAGGCGACGACATGAACAATCCAGCGAAGCGTCAACAAATGTACCCTCCCCAAATGCCACAGCAGATGGGGTCCATGCAACCACGCCCGCGTTGATAGCAGGCGCAACCATACGTTCAGGCGGTCTCGCCAATCAAGCCTCACAACGAATGTGTTGCAGCCACCTGCTACAGGATGACAGGTGTTGAGCATATGTTGTACTGCTGGACAAAGGCGATCCAGCCATTTTCAGGGCCGATAGTCGTGATCGGCTCTTGTATCTACAGGAGAAAAAGGTGCAAGAATAGGATAGCTCAGGGAGCTGTCTGTCAGGGTATTTTAGGACCTGCAAGTCTGAGGCGTTCGAGGTCATCTATCCATTGTTTCAGGTCCGGGTTGGACGGTTGCTAGAAAAATACCCTACTTGCTAGATAAACAATTGTATTCTTCTCTCCGATATAGGGAGGTCAAAGTAGCCAATGTCAAGAATATGTATATCACTTGTGTTTCGCATTTCCCTCATTGTGGGCTATCTAGAAAAAGACTGAAGACTACCCATGTCTCTGGATATCAGAAAACTCTGACAGCAGCTACTGACTCTAAAACTGTTCGTATAAAGCTACAGGTCTCGCATTGCATGCCCGTCTTGGCCATTCCTTCTAGGTGCAAGTGTCGTCGCAATAAGCATTTCCGAGCACATGTCTGCCCTGGTGGTCCAGACCTTGATAGCCAGCCCAGAAGGCCGCGCACGAGCATGTTCGAGAATCATGCGCAGCGGCTTACCCGCAGAGCCACCCCGCTAAAGGATCTGAGACGTGACAGAGACCCGAAGATCTGGTAGGCGTGGTGGTCCCTGGTCGGGGGCTTGTGACTCAGCGGTGGTGGTCAGTTAGTGGGAGCTTTTTGGAAGTCGTAGGCCAAACCCCTCCACGTGCACCACGAATCTAGAATTCTAAGCGCCCCTCGAGCACTTGCGCAACACACTACCCAAAAGTGAAGATGCCACCGAAAGGCAAGAAAGGCCAAGACAAGGGCAAGTCCGGCGAGGAGGAGCGCGATGAGCCGCTGCAGGCTGTGGTAGGTTGCGCAACGCAACTGGTCGCGAATTATGCTAACCTGGTAGATACTCGCGGATCCTTTCGAGACACGCTTCAGTCCCTTCACACTCGAGCACCCAAGAGTACGCACCCCCCGGATACTGCCAGCTGTACGCTGACACCTGCTAGTGTCTTCTGCCCCTCGCGAATACCCCGCTCATCGAGTACACGTTCGAGTTTCTCGCCAACGCCGGCGTGGAGGAGGTCTTTGTATACTGCGGCGCACACAGAGAACAGGTTGAAGACTACATCAAGGCCTCGCGATGGTCCTCCAAATCATCACCCTTCTCGCGACTGGAGCTGATCCAGTCGACGTCACATTCGATTGGTGATGCGATGCGAGATCTGGACAGCAGAGGCCTGCTGGTTGGCGACTTCCTCTTGGTCTACGGCGATGTGGTCAGCAATCTGCCCCTCGAGTCTGCACTCGCAGCGCATAGGGCGCGGCGGGCCAAGGACAAGAACGCTATCATGACCATGGTGCTGCGCGAGGCAGGCGCGACTCACAGGACAAAGGCCCAAGGCACAAGTCCCGTCTTCGTAATTGACCCTCAAAAAGACAGATGCCTACACTTCGAACAGATGCCGAACCGAGACCAGACGCACTACCTCTCCATCGACCCCGAACTGCTCTCCACCCACCAGGAGCTCGAGGTCCGCCAAGACCTGATCGACTGCGGCATTGACATCTGCACACCCGACGTGCTTGCATTATGGAGCGACAACTTCGATTTTCAGGCGCCGCGCAAGGGCTTCCTGCACAGCGTGCTCAAAGACTACGAGCTCAACGGCAAGACGTTCCACACACACATCATCTCAGATCACTACGCGGCAAGAGTTCGGAATCTACACGCATACGAGTCGGTCAGTAAAGATATCGTCTCGCGATGGGCATACCCGCTGTGTCCGGACAGCAACCTCGTTCAAGGACAGTCATATCGGTTACAAAAAGGTAACACATACAAAGAGGAGGGGGTCATACTTGCACGCGACTGTGTCATCGGGCCAAAGACAGTCATCGGTCGGGGCACCAGCATAGGCGATAAGAGCGTCATTACCAACAGCATCATCGGAAGGCATTGCCAAATCGGCCGGAATGTCAAAATTGACGGAGCGTATATTTGGGACTACGCCAGCATAGCAGACGGTAGTACGGTTACTAAGGCCATTCTCGCAAATGAAGTCTCTATAGGGCGCAGATGTACCATCGAAGCTGGTGCTCTGATCTCATATGGGGTCAGCATCAGCGAGGGTATGACGATACGAGGAGAGCACAGAATCACAAGAGCAAAGCGGAGACGAGAACAAGGAGAGGAGGTCGTTCGTGGCGATTCAGACCCTGCGATAGTTGGCGAGAAAGGCGACGGCTTCGAATTCCACGACTCGGACGAGGATGATGAGGACGAGCTGGTGGATGGTCTGGCCACCAAGGGCTCAAGTGAGTGCATTGTCATCAGCAACTACCTACATTCGCTAACAGAGATAGTGTACACTTTCTCGAACGAGTCAATATCCACAATCAACTCAGATTCAGAAGCAGACATGATGGGCATGGAGCGCCACGACAGATCTGCGACGAGTAGTTTCCTGTCTGTGGGCTCAGCCGACAGTCAACACGCGGCAAACTTCGATCACGATGCGTCTGCGAGTATCTACGATTCGCTAGTCGAAGGCCATGAATCCGCCAACATTCAACTGGAACTCACAGCCCTCCGCATGAGCACGAACGCGTCGGACCACCAAGTCAGACGCGCAGTCGTCTCCTCCTTCGTCAAGCGCGTCACCCAGCTGACCAAGTCGGGCGAAGCGATCAAGAGTGCCGTCGCGCAGGTCTTTGGACAGCACAAGGAGCTCATCGACCGCTCCATCTTCGACAAGAATGCTGAAAGCAAGACGGATCAGATCGACTTTATGCTGCTACTCCAAGCCGACCTATGCAACAAGGAGAACGGCGACGCGATCCTGCTGAGCGCATCAACAAAGCTTGTCGAGTTGGACTCGATAGAAGAGGATGGCATGATACAATGGTGGGAAGACGACAAGAGCACCGAGAACGCGGACATGGAGAAGGTGAGGGAGAAGACGAAGAGCTTGATCGACTTCTTGCAGCAGGAGAGTGAGGATGAGAGCGAAGAGGAGAGTGACGAAGACTAGTGCTTGCTACGGCACGATAGACGTTTGGTAGATTAGGGTCATTACTGTAGCAGATGTTCAAGCCCACGAGCCTATGTGGAAAAGCAATGCTAGCATGAAGTCACGAAAGTCTATGTCGGTGGCCGGTTTCATGTGAGAGCATAGGCGACACCATTATAGAGGCACGTCTCGGCCGTTGTTGTCCGCAATGGACATTTGGGCTGCATCAAGCAAAGAGGATGCCTTGAGGGTACACTGCGTTTTACTATAATAGACTGGTGACACGCGAAAAGGTGTGTTCTAAGCGCGCGGTGAAATGTGGAGAACGCGGTCAGGTTCCGGACGCCCCTGGACTGTTGCCTCCCAGAAGGCGCTAGGGCCACCCCGATGAGTGCCCGCATCGAGGACCAGCAATCGACTGCTAGACGCCATCTCTCACTTCCTGTGACTCCTTCCCTTCTGTGCTGCTGACCAATACGCTGCTGATTCCGACCACCTGTACCGCCACTCACCACACGCGCCTCAGGCCTTATCTCGTCTTTGCACGTCGCTCCTTTCGCCGCCGCCTGTCAAGCCCGCGTTCCGTCATCAGGCGGGACTCCTCCATCATCACGCCGTCCACCACCCTTCGCAAGCGGAAGGCCGACGAGGCAGACAACTACCTCAGCCCCGCCGAGGAATACCCCCATAAGAAGACCAATCACCCTGTTGTTACTCTACCAGCCACGCCCACAACCGACGCCGGCAAGATGGACTCGGACGACGACTTCAACAGCTCCATGAGCGGCGACGACTTTGACGACCAGGACAGCGACCTGGACTTGGAAGAGGGTGCGCATCCCCCAGCTGCCGCCGAAGACACGTGCTAACACTGCCCAGACTCGGACTTTGACATGGACCAAGATGACGTCGGCTTTGAATCACAGGACAAGGACATCAAGCCCACGAAGCAGGCCTTCGAGGTAGACTTCAAAGTCTTCGACCCCGCCCAGATCCAAGCACAGCAAGACAAGCAGGTCGACGAAGTCTCGAGCATCCTCGGCCAGCCACCCGAAGCCGCCGCCATCCTCCTGCGGCACCTGCGATGGAACAAGGAGCGCCTGATCGACCAATACATGGAGAAGACAGACGAGGTCCTAGAGCTAGCGGGTCTTTGCCAGGACTCTACCACCAATCCGCCCAAAATAGAGACGATACCAGGCTTCGTCTGCGACATCTGTTGCGACGACGACGCGAACCTGCGGAGCTTCGCCATGAAGTGCGGACACCGGTTTTGCTTGGATTGCTACAGGCAGTACCTCGGCACCAAGATCCAAGACGAGGGAGAGGCTGCCCGCATACGCTGTCCCGGAGAAGGCTGCACTCGCATAGTCGACTCAAAATCGCTAGACCTTCTCGTTACGGCAGATCTCCAAGACAGGTACGCGATGATCGCTCCACTTTCCTCCGACATGCTCACAGTCGTAGATACCACACCCTCCTCACGCGAACCTACGTCGACGATAAAGAGAACCTCAAATGGTGCCCTGCGCCCGACTGCAAGTACGCCGTGGAATGCCCTGTAAAGAGCAAGGACCTCACCAAGATCGTACCAACAGTACACTGCGAATGCGGACACGACTTCTGCTTTGGATGTACATTGAACAACCACCAGCCTGCACCTTGCGCGCTGGTGAAGAAGTGGGTCAAGAAGTGCGAGGACGACTCAGAGACCGCCAATTGGATATCGGCCAACACTAAGGAATGCCCGAACTGTAACTCTACAATCGAGAAGAACGGAGGGTGCAACCACATGACGTGCAGGAAGTGCCGCAACGAGTTCTGTTGGATGTGCATGGGCAAGTGGTCGGAGCATGGCACGAGCTGGTACAACTGCAATCGCTTCGAAGAGAAGAGCGGATCCGAAGCCCGCGACGCGCAGGCTAAGTCCCGGCAGTCGCTCGAACGATACCTCCATTACTACAATCGCTTTGCGAACCACGAACAGTCGGCGAAGCTCGACAAGGACCTCTACCTTAAGACGGAGAAGAAGATGCAACAGCTACAAAACTCATCAGGCATGTCGTGGATTGAGGTGCAGTTCCTTGACCAGGCTTCACATGCGCTTCAACAATGCCGACAGGTGCTTAAGTGGACCTACGCCTTTGCCTACTACCTCGCCCGCAACAACCTAACGGAGATCTTTGAGGACAACCAGAAGGATCTGGAAATGGCCGTCGAGAACCTCAGCGAGATGTTCGAGAAGCCAATCGATCAGTTAAAAGACCTCAAGGTCGATATCCTTGACAAGACTTCATACTGCACTAAGCGGAGGATCATCGTCCTCAACGACACAGCGGAGAACCTGAAGCTCGGTATGTGGTCCACACGCCTCCATGCACTCCTCCCTGAACTACTGCTAACCTCAACAGGCACATGGAAATTCAACGTAGACCTAGTCTAGAAGCCTCCTAAACCTCGATCACAACTGCCTCTACTCACGTTTACGAGTACCACAAATACTCTTGGACTGAGAACACGGGTATGGCAGTATTAAGGATCGCTGTCAGGAGGTCTGCGCACGAAGTGCAATGGGCTAGCAAAGAAGATGAAGTTTCACGCTGTTTTTACGTTGCATGGTCGGTTCCACTGGCGCTTGGAGAGAGGTATGGCATTGTTTGCATGGCGTTGATCAATCTGTGGTAATCAGCGGTTCAGCGGGCTAGGCTTAGCATTTTATCTTCTTTTATGTTCGACATTTCCACATACTCGACGCAGGTTCAGAGAAGATATCGAATTAGACGTTCAAATTTCAGTGTTGCTGTTGCTCTGGCGTCGTAATGGAGTGCTGTTTGATATTCGAAGATTGTCAGTGGCTCTCGCTTCTATGGGTCCTTCCACAACCAGAAGATGGTAACCAGATTATGCTGTGCAAGGGAGGGCAAACATTTCCGCTTCTTTTCTTCCATTCTCCATCGTCTCACATACGTGCGCAAATTCTAATCCAAATCCAACTTCTACCACGACCCAGACGCCGACATCGTCGCCGCCGAGGTCGACATTTTCGTCGCGAGCGACGTGAGTACCTCCCGGCCCCCCTATGATCACCCACCCAGCACTAACAAAATATGCGTATAGCTGATAATGACAACGCAAAATACCCATAGCCAGTTCCTGGAACTTCCGGCCGAACTGCGACTGATGATATACTCCTACGCTCTCACCAACTCAGTACCGGTACTGGCTACTGTCATCAGCATCAACACTGACGGCGGCTCTATTCAAGTTCCCAAACTCTACGCACAAGGGGAGTATCACACGCGGTACACTCTAGAGACCCCCCAAATTCCAAAAGCCGAGTTCAACCAGCTCCGATACGTCTGTCGACTTTTGTGTCAAGAAACGCGGGGTTTGAGCCTGCGGTACAACGAATTGGTTTTCATGAAAGAGCCAGGAACGACAACACCGGCACAAGCAATATGCGCGAGGTTTTTAGATGCCATTCCTGCCAGTTCACAAGCGAGAATCCGACAGATTACGGTCATCGCGGGCACAGTGACGCCCAGGCCGTTGGAACACGCTTCGATCACTAGGGATTGTTGGTACGATATCGGGCAGCTGCTCACGGGCGGCGAATACCCTATCATACACTCGTTCTGTCGCGCCAACCCAACTGCGAAAGTCGTGCTCCGCTATGACACTAGGCGTATAAACAAGTTCGGACACGAAAAACCTCTTATGGTAGGTACCAGATACGCGCTGCTTCACGCTAGCCTACGCTTCTTCTTGCGTGGCTCTTCGGCTGTTGAGGCAGGGTTGCTCGAGGCAATGACAGGGGGTTCAAGTCATCCTCAACATCACTATCCCTACGGGTTGTGGAGAAAGATACATGTTTCCGAGTGGGCAATCGCTACATGTATGATACCAGCGATAAAAACGACTCCGGATGCTGAGAAGATCTTCAAAGGGGCGCTATTGGACAATTTCAGAGTCACGATTTCTAGATGGTATCGTGTGCCGAGTCCTTTGTGGGTGATGAAGCACGAGTGGTATGCGGCCGTGAGGTGGGAGTTTGAGGAGGGGTGTTAGACGCGTTGGAGAAGTGGAAATGGAAGAAGAAGGGTCATATGGTGCACAACATTGGCTACAGGCAAGATATAGCTTCGTTTTTACACCTTACTCCCCGAACACCAGACCACCGATATGAAAACCCCATCATCATCCTCCATACCCCTCATCCGAGCGCCTTCCCCGGTACCCCCATCCCATCACCACTACCACTCATCATCTTCACCAAACCAAGGCCCTCCAGGCATGTTCATACCCCATCCGGGTTGGCCGAATGGATACGGATCAGACATGCTACCATACATGCGTGGTCCGTGGTGGTACGGGGTAACGCGCGACCTCCTCCGTAATTCCGTTGAGTAAGGAGGGCTAACGCTGCGGTAGTTGTCTGAGCGATATCCGCGACGTGGCTCCTCGTGGCGATTGCGTGGTGGGGAGACGCCGCGGCTGTATGCGTAGGGGTTGTGTTGGGCCCATTCTTCGGGGGTGAAGCGCGGGTACATGGTTGGTTCGGATGGGGATTTGAGCTGGGGTGGATTTACTGGGAGGTGGTGCTTTGGTGTTTTGTATCGTGGAAAGTAGCTAAGAGATGTAGTGAAGAATGAGTTGGCTTTGTTGATGTGGTAAAGGTGCAGGATAGCTCTGTGCTTTTATACGTGGGCTACATGATGAATGCATGGAGGACTGTGGCCGAAGTATGAAGTGTTGCGACAAGATCGGGTGAGTTGGCGGATGTTAGGATAGCGATGCGCTGTCTCGGAGTGATGATTGTGGTATTTCTGAGGCGCGGTAAACAGTTGAGACATTCAACACAAACTTGCTCTGGACGAACGACTACTGAAAGATACCGTCATTGATTTGCATAGGAAATAGCCGTAACCGACGGTCAGAAAGCCAACATATTGCTGGTATCCTTGCAATGTCTCGATCGCCTTCGATACACTTTTTGTAGCTATGAGAGACATTTCGACCGCAAGAACTCCTATCGAAGGGCGATGGCGATAGAAATGCTACCTAGGTACAGTATGCGCGCCCATGGTCAGACCAGCCGTCTGAGGTCCTCACTATGCCCAGGTGTGGTCCATTGCGGAAAGTGCCCACCGTTGTCACCACGAAAAACTCGATTCTATAGAGTTTCCGTGAACCTTTGATAGCTATCACTATGTAGTCGTCATGCACAGTCTTGATCGGACATAATTTGACATTGTATTGCCCGAACATGAAGATTGTTCTTTCTCAGAGTCCCGAGTCTAGCCAGACTCCTAAATCAAGCCCGTATGACCTAAGTTTCGGAATGGTATCAACTAACTCACTCAGAGTAAACTGAGCGTATGATGGGCGTGTCATGTATAGAGCGGTCTGGGTTGAAATGGTGATGATCAGGAATAACCAAATGAATAGGACGATGCGACAACCCCTAGTTGACCCAATGTGTAGAGCGAGAATCAACTCCAAGGGCAAAGGGATAAGGAAGATGCCATTTCGTGGCAGAGATATTGCACTGAATAGCGTCGCCTGGACACAGGCAACCATGGCAAGGATTGAAAGCTTGTGGCTCTCAACCCATACCCTGATATCCCATTGTCGATTTTTCTTGTTTTGGAGGACGAGTGGCGCAGCGTAGGAGATGGATCCTCCACGCAAGTCTTTCTCGATGCGTCGACGCAGCTTAGCTTCGGTAACTGTAAGGACTTCATCATCTTCCTCGCTTACGAGTCCAGTCGTTTGTTCTCGCATGGTAGATGCAAGTTCTAAGACAGCCTTGTATTCTCCTGCAACGTTTTCTTTCTCTCGTCCTCGTTTTTGCATGACCATGTAGGCTCTGAGCCACATGATGTAGAGCCTTGAAGTCTAGACTATCATGAGAATTACCATGATGAACAATTGAACATAAGAAAACCCCCACTTATAGTCCTGCACGAGTTAGCCAGAAGAAGGGGGCTTCGCGTAAGATGACATACCGATACAGCTTGACACATTCCATTATTACGCATGTAGTCATAACGGTACGTTCTGTTGTTATATGCCCATAACAGTGAAGACTTATTGGAAGTTACACTGAATGCTTGCTCTGTATGATAGACACCATTGCCTTCTTGCAGAGAGGGAGCTGAGATGTTCAGGACAGGAGGTGGTAAACTGATGCCCGCGAAAGTCGAGTTCGTGATATTTTCGCCGTTCAGACCGTATTCTGCAGTATCTTCTCGTATATCAGCAGCATTCGTGCTCCCTTAGGTAGCTTAGCTTACACCTAGACACATTGTACAGCAAATCGCAGACTCCAGGAGTACTGCTGTCAACCCCGGTAGCTCCGTAGCAGAAGTTAAAGTTCGAGCTGATTGTCTCAGGTGAAGAAATCACTGGCTGATTACCAGGAAAATCTGCTCGAGCCCAGTCAGATTCCGAAAGCTCCTCAATACCATGATTTCATTACCTATGTTTCGGTCAGTGCTTGATGTGACACCATGGTCGCTATCCAGCTGCACGCGCCAACCGTCATGTATAACGAAGTAGGCGAAGGCGAAGGAGCTGAAGCGAATGTAATCGCCTTCAGTGGTGTTAACAAATGCTTCAACGTTCGCGCTGTAACCAGTCATTGCACTGGCGAGGGTCGGATACATGAATGTCAATACCATGGTATACACCATGAAGACCATGGCTACCCTGGAATGCAAGTCGTGACGTGTCACAAAATCTCGAATCGTATAGATGATAGCGAGGAAAAAGCCGCCGCTTGGTAAGAAGATTGTCCGATATGTTCCGAACGTAACTGGTGTAAGTTCCATGGATGTCGTCACGTATTTGGCGAAGACGCGCCACGATATATACGCGATGAGCGCCTGACCACCACGTCCTAGTAGCTTGAGGGTAGTTAGCTCTCACGTTCTTAGAACATACACCTAGCTGCCTGGCCTGGGGTATGGCGGCACTCACGATATCCCAGCTGATGTCTATAGCCTTCACTTGTGTGAAAGTCATATGACCCCATCCCAAATTAATCTGAAAAAAGCTCGAGCTGCTCAGATATCGAAAATGTGATGGATCCACTGTGAAGGCACCATCGGGCAAACAAGCGTCTAGTTCGACGGGGGCCTTGGAAGTGAGATATGACAACCATGCCAAACAAAGTAACAACGTGACCATTCCAACTACGAAAAGTAGCCACGGTCCAAGCCAGCGCCATTGTTTACGAATGTCTCCAGCTGCTTGCCGATGACTTTCGCAGCAGGTCGTCCAAAAGCGTGATATTCCTATGCAGAGCGTGGACCCGATGTTTGAGGGGTTTAATACCATTGTAGAAGCGGAAAGATGAGTACTCGCCTTTCGCGAAAAAGCATATGCAGGATTGCGCATCCGATGTAGGTGTAAGACTGTCAATAGCACTGGGAACCAGGGCCTTGATAAAGTCATAGATAAAACAAGACCGCGCGTTTCTTCATGCACACCATCTGTAGGCAGACCGGGCGTAGTGCTTAGACGTCCTTCTGCTGACTGCAGCACCGCCTTGTTGGTCGCACTGGGGCCCATTGCCCAACGTTTTCGGTCAGATAACGGTCTACGCAAGTCTTGTGCATCGGCAGATTACGATCCTTAGGGACAGGATATTGCTTGCGCTTTTGTGTCCGGTTCTATTCATCGCAGCGGCGGCGGTAGTGGTGGTGGTGATGGTTGTTATCGGAGTGGTGAGCTGTGCATCGCGTGCAGCACAGATGTTGCCCAGGTGGTTGAGGGGCAGTGGGCTGTGGCACTCCGCCACCACATGTGCAGATGGCATACAGCCTTACCGGCTCATTTATTGAACGTACACGCATAGCAGTATGTCTATATTGCTGTGAACACTGGTGACCTCCCGACGCACATGTGCAGTTGAACGCGACTTTGAGGCACTGGAGGAAGGTAGCAGTGGGATGACGCTGTCGCGCCAACGCTAACATCCTCAAATCGGCCCGCGGGCCCTTCAAGGGCGAAGTCACCACGAACGCCATGGCGAAGGCCTCAACACATAATCATTGATTACATATCGAACAACTCCAAAGGCGACTGGTAGTGAGTACCTAAATACAGTCCGACAACTTTATTGATGCGCGACAGACGTGCCTTCCGCTTCCAACCACCATCGCTCATCAAGCAAAGGTCATCTCTGGCTTATGTCTCGCCACCTCTGCCTTCCGGATGTCGTGGTAGTCCATATTTCCAAGATCAGAGGTTGTGTTTACTGACACCAGCGGATCATCTTGCGATGCAGGTGGAATTTGCCTCTTACCACCCCAGATGAATGTTCTGACGGTATTCAATGTTCCTCCTAGCGGTCTCTGGGTGGCGATCCTCGGCGCGCTTGGATCCTCGTGCTTGTCATGGAGCGCGTCGCTTCGCTGGGGACTCCGCCCGCTGCTTCTTGAGGATCTGGAGAGCCTTAGCACCGACAGGAGACGGTGCCCAAATCGCTGGAATACAGTATCCTGCTTTCTTCGGTCATCATCGACAGGATTGGTGATGAAGACTCCGCGGATAACAATAACGGACGCCATTATGAGCGCGACGCAGGATTCGACCATGAACCAATACGCAGCCCACACCGGTGCAGTTCCGAATGCTGCCGCTGTTGTTTCGGTCAACGAGCCAACGACCCGTATCAATGCGCAAACAACCATTACTGCCGAGAGACCCATCAAGGCCACGATTGATAATTTCCGAGAAAACGACATCATCGACTGGTTTACGACAACAATGGGAACGGTAACGACTAGAAATCATGAGCCTTCGAACCGGGGTAATGAAATTTCTGGCTGTATGACTTACTGAGAATATCGCCTATGATGTCAAGGACGCCAACAATGACGTTACCCGCGACACTTCTCTTATGCATCTGGGCATCCCCGCATTTAGCTGTATGAAGTCAGTACTTCGCGTTTTAATCATGGACAAAACATTGACTGACCTGCGTCTGCACCAAAGTGTGCACATATGACGACAAAGTTGACTACGGCATAGATCCAAGCAATGACAAGAAAGCCTGCGGTAATCCAGAAAAATCGTACGACTCTGACCGACAGTCCAAGGGTCAGGCCATGGAAGAAGTACATGAAAGCAAATTTGACTAGATAGATGGAATTCCATCCGAAGATGGAGAATATGAACGCCCACTTAGGGATGTCCAAGATCGCAGGAACGTCCTCCCGGAATGGGATTGTCTTCCTTTGGTTTATGGCTTCGACGAGATAGAAAGGATTAAGAGCCTTGTGGACGCAGGCGAACGCTACTGTTAAGCACAGCGACGACACCAAGACGAGTCCATCGTCCCATCGTATTTTTCGGCCTCCAAAGATGCGAATCGCGAAGCGCACGAATACAGAAAGAATGGCAAGTCCAAAAAGGAGTCCAGTTGAGATCTGAGGTATTCGTCAGTATTGAAAATATTCGGCAGCACGGGGAGTGCATACCACGAATGGCACCTTGTCGATTCTACCAGCATGTTCGATGGCGTACTGTCTGCCAGGCACGTATTGCGCGGGTGGCAGTTTCGATGGATCAATCGACATGACTGGAGAGATGCTTTGGTAGGATGAGATCTCGGTGAGAAGACTAAACGATATAGCTACAGAACTTCAGGCGGGACGTCGAGACCTAATAAGCACATTGCAAGATGTGGGATCACAGGCGACTGCATATAGGCTTGGGGCTGAGAAAACTTGGAAACAGTAATTGCATTCAGAACAGATAATTGCCTGCTCATCTCTTGCGCTAATCATTGGAGTCGCGGCTTCGTGTGCTGGATGGTGGTGACAGCCCGGAGCTGTTGCGTGTGGGGGCTATGACCGGTCGGCGTCGGGTAATGAAGCACGAATCACAACATACCCAAGAAACCGACGACTCGGTAGCATGTTATTAACCGGCATGGGTAAAATCATTTCAGCTGTCGGGGTGCATGGCATTGTAGTACAAGACTGCGGTGTTTGTGCTATAGATAGTGCTGACATGCATGTTGCTCAAATAGGGCTAGCGCCCTACCCGTGCCGCCCCCCAAGGCTACTTCCTCGTGCGCCTTGCACCTTCGGCGACATTTCAACATCAACACTCGCGAGATCGAGCCCACCTACTCGTGCTTCTGTGCCGCCCTCGGCAATCTTCGTTGCACAAAACGTGAGTAAGCATGACGTGGGTCAGCATGCCAGCCGTTATGGCTGTTGCCGCCGGAGCCTTCGTCATGTTTGTAGCCAGCTTAATAGGTAATCGGCAACACATCAAGAGGCTACAAAAGTCAGGTGCCGTAAGTGGAATCTTCAATTTATCGCAGACATGATTCTAATAATAGCAAGCCTATGCCCAAACACCATCCACTGTTCGGTCATCTCATCGTGTTGAAAGAAACCATTCAAGACTTGCCTCGCAACACTGTAATGCATGTGGTAGTACGGCGGATAGCAGAGTCATTCCCCGGCGGCGTCTTCTATCTCAACCTATGGCCTTTCAACGCTCCTCTCATGGTGGTCGCAAACCCTTATGTTGCATCGCAAGTAGAAGCTGCTTTCCTCAGCAAGCCGCCCAACATAAATGCTACCTTGGAGGTCATCAATGGTGGTCCGTCTCTACTGACAATGGAGGGAAGCACGTGGAAGAAATGGCGAGCGCTCTTTAATCCAGGATTCGCTGCTGGCTACATCACAGGACTTTCACCTGCGATCGCCGAGGAAGTCTCAACTTTCTGCAAACTTCTCCAAGAATGCGCAAAGAAAAATGAAGTCTTTCCTTTGGAAGAGTATACTCTTCGGCTAACATTCGACATTATTGCACGTGTTACCCTGTAAGTTCACCATTCAGTACGCTTGCAACATGGGGCAACTGCTGAACATCGGACACAGTGGCTCACGTCTATACTACCAAACCCAAGGAAGCGCGCTCGCAGATTGTCTCCGAAGACAAGTCTACTGGACATCGTTCGGCACAACATTCAACCCGTTCCGTCGCTATCTCAGTCCTCGCCCATTTGTTCAAAAGTACAACAATTACCGTATGAACCGATACCTCGATGAGGAAATCGACAAGCGCTTTGAAGAGTTGGCCAGCTCCCGCAAAGACTCATCTGGTGTTTCCCGCAAACAGTCGAGATCTATCATTGCGTTGGCCATGGACAAGTATCTCGAAGATGTAGAAGACAAAGATGAGATATCAGAATCGGTCTTCAAGCAGCTCGCGAAACCTCAACTTCGGTTGTTCCTTTACGCTGGACATGATACTACGAGTAGCACACTACTGTACAGCTACATACTCCTCTCGCGTCACCCAGAGGCCTTATCTAAAGTCCGTGCAGAACATGGCAAGGTGTTCGGATCAGACTTCTCGCTCGACATCATCACTCGGACTATCGCGGACGACCCCTCACTACTGAACCAGCTACCTTATACCTTGGCCGTCATCAAAGAGGTTCTACGCATCTTCCCTCCCGCCGGCAGCATGCGCGATGGCCGTCCAGATGTCTTCCTATCAGATGAGCAAGGTCACCAATATCCCACAGACGGCTGTAACATCTGGACCCTCACCTTAGCTTTGCATCATAACCCCGAAGTATTTGTGCAGCCAGAAGACTTCATTCCTGATCGCTGGCTAGTCGATTCTGAAGACCCGTTGTACCCGAAGAAAGCTTCGTGGAGAGCTTTTGAATGGGGCCCCCGCGCATGCATCGGGCAGACGCTTGCGCAGTTGGAACTCAAAATTGCATTGGTCATGACTGTGAGGATGTTTGATATCACGCCGGCGTATGAGGAATGGGACAGATTGCATCCGAGGAAGGGTATCAAGACTGTTGATGGAAACCGAGCGTATCAGGCTGAGATGGGGGGTGGTGGAGCTCATCCGGCGGATGGCTTCCCGGTTAGGATTACAACGCGAGCGTAAACAGGCCGAGAAGGATGCAAGGAACGAGGGTGATACTTTGTTGCAAGTTGCAAAGTACAACCTAGATAACGATTTGTATTATGTCCTGAGATGTGCACTAGCGGTAACAAGTTCATCCTCTCCTTCCACATTCTGAAAATGCCGTTTGAGGGTAGACTCTCTTCATCTCCACGCTCACCTTCACCTTCACCTTCACCTTTACCTTCACCTCCGATCTATTTCAATTCCAATGTCCGTGCTTCGATATCATCTATAATATCCTCCGTCCTCCGTACGCAACCTATCCCACAAAGTGACACTCATCACAGTCCACGAAATCTCGAGTCTTCATCAACGACAACATGGCTGAGCACGCTCGCGAAGAGCTTGTCAACACTTTCAAAAGGCGTGTACTCAGATAAAGCCTATCCAGAAATTGACTAACTCTACGACAGCTTGCTAGACTCGGGCGCATACTCCGACTTCACCATTACCTGCGGCAGCGATACGTACAACGTCCACAAGGCTGTGGTATGCACTCGATCGGAGTTCTTCAAGGGTGCGGAAAGGTTCGCTGTTAATCAGGTGAGTTATGTGCAACTCGTCGTGTGATGACGGCGCAATCGTTGACGCATGTAGCAGCAAGCAGCAAGTGCCAAAGCCGACCTCTCCGAGGACGATCCACATATCGTTAAGCGACTTGTCAAGTATCTTTACGAAGGCGACTACGATGCCGAGATAGCTGGTACGATACCTGCTAAAGCCCCCTCGCCGGTGGTGACCGCGCCCAGCAACGACATCTATCACTACGACTTTCCACACACATGTCGCCTGGGTTGTGAGCTGCCAGACTATTTAGTCTGCAATCATCATATTTACAGCGTAGATTCATGTGGCTCGTCCTGTGTCGACTTCGTATGCCTCAAATGCTGCCCGGACTGGACTTCTATCACAATACCCACAGCAGGCGCGTCACAGCTCCTTCTTCACGCCAAGATGTATGAGATGGGCGATAAATACGACGTCAAGGGTCTCAAGGATCTGGCCCGCGTCAAGTTCACCTCTATCTGCACGCCATTATGGAATGATGAGGTCTTCGCTCAAGCCGCAGACCACGCCCTCAACACAACACCGGATACCGATGTTGGTCTGCGAGAAGTGATTCGCAAGACCATCGTGGCCCACATCGAGCTGCTCAACAAGCCCGAGATTGCGGCTTTGCTAAGTAAACACACTGGCTTCATGTTTGGTGTTCTGAGACGCGTGGCTGAAGAGAAGGCGGGCTTGCAGCCAGTGACTGGACCGTTGTCGGATCGCCGTCGCCGTCGTTATTAAGACATGAATTGTCGATGCCGTGAGAGGGAAGCCCGAACCGACAGTGATGGACGTTAGGGTGTAGTAAGAACACCAAGACTCTTCTTCACAAGCAAATGACTTGCAGCCACGATTCAAGTAGACAGATATAACCACGGGACAGAAGCGAGGGTTGGAGGAGGAAAGATAGACCCATTCCAAATATCTAATCTACCTCACGTTGCGTTCCATATCAAGAGTAACGTACAGTACATCAACTTGTGTCCAATGAGATGGGAGACACATGCTCCATGTAGAAAACCAGACGCCGATACCGAACCCATTCCATTCCATATATCAGTAGACCCTCTTGGGTCATATTAACGATCATATCATGTCACATTTACTGGCTAGCGACGCGCTCCTTGACCTTCTCGAACATAGACTCCATCTCCTCGGCGATGAAGTCCTCGATCTCTTGCTCAAGGTGCTGGAGCTTGCCTCCGGCGCGGTGAGCGGTGCGGCTGGCAGACTCCTTAGCGCTCTCAAAGTCACCCTCGATCTCGGAGAGAGAAGGGATGGTGATGGTGAACTCAGACTCCTCCTCCTTCTCGGCAGCCTTCTTGACAGAGTAGCCACCCTTCTCAACAATCTCGGTGTAGTTGGAAGAGCCACCACCGTTCCAGGCGAGGACGTTCTTGGTGTTGCTTGGGACATCAGAGAGAGCACCGACGGTGGCGACGGAGATGAGGTTCTCCTTGAGCTTCTTGGGGGTGATGTCGGCGACAGCGTAGGCAGAGTCCTTGCTAGGCTGGAGAGACAGCATGTAGGCGAGGAGACCAGCAATGTGGGGGGAGGCCATTGAGGTTCCAGAGATGGTGTTGGTGGCGTGCTCAGAGCCGATCCAGGTGGAGAGGATGTTGAGACCAGGGGCGAAGATGTCGTTGCACTTTCCGTAGTTGGAGAAGTACGCACGCTCATCGAGGAGAGTGGAGGCACCGACGGTGACGGCCTTCTCAGCAGCAGCGGGCGAGTAGTTGCAGGAGTCGGCGTTGTCGTTACCGGCAGCGACAGCAAAGTGAATACCAGCGTCAACGGCAGCGTTGACAGCGAGGTCGAGGGTGGTGGACTTGCCACCTCCTAAGCTCATGTTGGCGGCGCTTCCCTTGAAGCCCTTCTTCTTGCCGTCCTTGGCGGCCTTGACAGTCTCAGAGTGAGACTTAGCAGCGTACTCAACACCCTTGACGACGTCGGACATGGTGCCGGAGCCGTTGGAGCGGAGGACCTTGACGGCATAGACGTGCGCCTTCTTGGCGACACCGTACTTCTTACCGGCGACAGTGCCGGAGCAGTGGGTGCCGTGGCCGTTGCCATCCTCGTCGGCATCGCCGTTGGGGATGGTCTTGCCCCACTTAGCACGACCCTCAAAGTCAACGTGCTTGGTGTTTGTGCCGGTGTCGATGACGTAAACGTCAACGCCCTCACCACCGTCGGCGGCGTAGAGGTACTTGTTCCAGGTGCCGAAGCTCAGGGAGTCGCGGTGCGAGATACGGGCGAGACCCCAGGGGGAGTTCTTCTCGACTTCAGGTTCGTCGTGGCCGAGAGTGTGGACCTCTGAGTCGCGCTCGATGTAGTCGACCTATCAAGTTGTTAGCGCCAAGTCTTATGCAGGTACAAGTACCTAGATGGCGTCACGTGTGCTAATGCGGAGCCGGAGCTGCCTGCGGAGATAAGGCCGCCCAGGCAGCGCTCACTCTAGGCCACCAACGCGCTGACGCCATCTGGGATGATGCAAGCTGGTAACAGCTGGGGATAGAACTTACATCGGGGTGGTTCCTGATGGCCTCGATGGTCTCGTCGTCGAAGTGGCCAGAGTAGCCCTTCATGCCGGCCATCTCGTAGACGTGCTTGAGACCATCGAAGACCTCAGTGGTAACGGGGAACTGCGAAGAGCGCTTTCGCAGCTCCATGCGCTCCTCGTTGTTCTTGGTGTGGACGCTCTGGACCCAGTCGTGGTGCTTGGAGGCATCCTTGACGTGCTTCTTGAAGACGACCATGTAGCTGTTGGGCACCTCCTTGGCAGAGGTCGACGACAGCACTGGGGCGGCATTCTTGTGAATGGTCTCTACGTTGAAGGTAGGCGACGCGGCGGCCAAAGCCGGTAGCGCGAAGACCAGGCTGTACTTCATGATGGCGGAGCTCGCACAGCGAGAACTAGAAACACAAGGGTAAAGGGGATGCAAGAAGCGTGATAGATGAAGGAAGGGGTGATGGGAGGGAGGAGAGTGTTGTGGAGGAGAGATGGGGATGCAGCTGGGGTAGCTCTGGCGATGGAGCTTCTTATCAGGACCTCGGTGCATGGCCCGGGCGCGCTAGGTGGATGACGCATGACCTATCCGCGCCCGCGCGAGTGAGGCTGGGGTGAGCTAGCGCACGCGCCATGAGTATCAGATGAATGATACATGGATGGTATCAGGACACCCGAGTGCCCTGGGATGCAGAGGCTGGCTGTGTCGGTGGAGCATGGCTTCACATATGGGTTACTGGGAGCCAACGTTGGTCTGACATGTACTGAGGTAGTTATCGATATGCCAGAGCAGCCGTGCCAGCCACACCTGGGCAATGCGTGCTCACGTGAGAGGCAATAGTCAGGAGCGCACCATGCGGCCCGCGTGAGACAGAACGCGTGTTTATCATAACTATGTTGGTAGGCGATATGCACAGCTCCTAGTGCTGGTGCACTGTTTATCAGTACCTTGCTTTGCGGCGACTTGACGTTGCTCGGCGCGTGCAGCGTGGGAGCCTGGCTGAGCTCTGGACTGACAGGGATCAGCTTCGATGACCAGCTTAGCAGCAACCACGACGAGCGCGGAGCCCGCCCGCCGTAATCAGCCCTCATTGTGCGCCCGCCCACCACCAAACGACACGACTAGTATCCCCCGCAAGTTGAGGTCTCATGTGCGGGCTTGGGGCTCGGGAGATATGAAGGTGCTGCCCGCGCAGCCATCACCTCCGCCCAGTTTCCGCAGCAGCGGTCTCGCCTGAACATGGCGACGACGCGGCCGCACAGGTCCTCCACGGCCGCCTCACGACTGCCGCCGATGAATAACCAGATAGCCGAACTCCGAAGCCTAGCGGATGAATTGATCAGGGCCTCCGAGACCACACCACCGACCTCCGACGTCCTCCACAACCAGAGCAACGCCCTCCGCCGCATGCGCCAGCTGCTGATCGAGTCCAACGACCAAACCCATACCAAAGACGCGTTCCGCCATGTCCGTGGCTTCGAGACGCTCCTCATTACCCTGCGCTCGCTCTCTGGCTTCTACAAACCCGCCGAGCTGCCCACGCCCGACCGCATCGACTTCTTCGAGGTGATCAAGGGCACACTCGATGTCCTCTCAGACGCGCTGAACGAGCATGCCGGTAACAGGCGCTTCTTCGCCAAGCGCGTCGAGCACGGCGGCTGGAGTGCTCTGGAACAAGCCCTGGCCAGCACTGGCATTTTTGGCGGACAGTCGCAGAGCAAGCGTGACGATGCCGGCCAGGAGCAGCTTTTCGGCACCCTGTTCGCCTTTGCCTTGGGCGAGGAGACCATGACACGCATCTTCAGGGATATTGATAAGAAGGTCGAAGTTGCACAGCCCAAGCAGGCCGAGGACGCAGCAGCCAGCGGCGACTCGCAGCCTACTGAGATCGTAGTCTCTAGCCCGCGGTCCGTGTACAGCGATACCGATCTCGATCTCGATCCACTACGCAGCCAGGTACGGGCTATATTCAGCGGCAATGAGATACTGCAGAATCCAGACATCATTCCGACCATCTTCCACTTCTGGCGGGGTCTTTCTGGTGAAGATGCCCCGGGCACGCGCTCCAAGGCTCTCTCCATATCGGTGCTGCTTGCCATCCTGGAAATCACTTCCATCTCTTCTTACAACAAAGCTGCGCTGCACGTCACCGGCGTCTTGAGCAGTGTCCTACCCCTGCTCTTTGAGAACAAGTGCGCTCCTATAGAAGCTAGCCTCTTGCAAGAGCTGGCCGACGACCTTATTCAGTACGGCATCAACAAGCTGGACGATGCATACTACCTCTTCCGCAAAGCAGCGTCTTCTGAATCAGCTGCTGAGTTTCTCTTGCGTGGTATGCGCTCCTCCCGCGACCCGCCTTTCATACAATTCGATCTATCTTTGCATGGCTTCAGCGCTGTTGAACTTCCAGACATTGGTCGTCCATTCCCACCCATGTCCCCAGGAGGCGGATATACATTTGCTGCTTGGGTCAGGGTCGACAGGTTCGACGCCGACTGCCATACCACCCTCTTCGGCGCATACGACGATACACAAACGTGTTTCCTCATGGCATACTTGGAAAGGGATACGCGTTGCTTTATCCTGCAGACTTACATGGGTCATTCTACTGGTGTCATACCCAGTGTCAGATTCAAGAAAGCCCCTCGTTTCGAAGCAGGCCGGTGGTATCACATCGCTGTGGTTCATCGGAGAGCCAAGACTATCGGTATCGGCGCTGCTAAGGCATCTCTCTTCGTCGATGGTGAGTTCACCGAGACTATGAAAGCCCACTACCCTTCGCATCCTCCGTTACTGGATAGCAGCCAGGATAGCTTTGCCTCCATGTCTTCTAGCGTGTCCAAACACCACATACTCGCGTTCTTGGGAACACCACGGAACTTGGCGCCTCGGCTGGGTAGAAACGTCATTGCCTCCAAGCTCTCAGTCGCCTCCTTCCATCTATTCTCTGAACCGCTGTCAGATGAGCTGATCGCTGTATATCATAAACTTGGTCCGCGTTATTGTGGAAACTTCCAAGATAGGCTCGGGTCGTTTCAAACCTACCGTACCTCTGCTGAGCTTCATGTTCACAACGAGATTTTACATCCTGGGAGAGAGGAACGATCCGACATCGTAGCAGCTATTCGGGCCAATGCAAGCCATCTCATGCCTGAATCGAAGATAATACTGAGCTTCTCTCCCAGTTCCGTAATGGACGACGATGACAGAAATGCCATCGATGAATCCCAACTAATCCGATCACTATCACGCGAATCAGCTAAAACTCTGCATAAGTATACCAGACTTCATAGTACTCCGATCATCATCAATGCTGCCGTACCTTCGGTCAATGATGCACTGTCTCAGCCACGAGGATTTGGACGTCTATCTGGTGACCCCGTTGTTGTCGTTCCACAATCACTCGACGATGCCATTTGGCGCATTGGCGGGTGTGTGGCTGTCGGCTTGAAGCTGGTGCAATCCGCCCAGACTCTAGACAGCATGCTTCGCTCTGTCAACATTCTGCTTGAAGCTGTTGGGGGCAATTGGCGCAATTGTGAGGCCATGGAGCAGCGCAACGGGTTTGCTGTCTTGGCTGAGGTGCTTCGCCAGAAGATTGGATTCGCCATGGGGGGATTGGTGCCGCGCAACCCCTCCTCATTAGATGTGACACCAGAAGACTGCGAAGACTTTGTTATGCAGCTCTTGCGAATCATCCTCCGATTCGTTGGATACGATGAGAACGAGCCAACCGAGTCACTCATCATCAACCCACTTGCGTATAGAGTACTTCTGGTTGATCTGGAGATCTGGCGTAGAGCTACCTCGTTGGAAACGCAGAAGCTGTATTACTTGCAATTTGCGCACTTTGCCAAGGGCAGCAAGCACCATCACTACAACGCTAAGCGATTCCATAGGATTCGTAAGTATGCAGATATGGCGAGTCAACTTTAGCTGATCCATTACAGGTGTTGTCAAGCGTCTCACAGATGCTCTCAAAGGTGAAAACTTCACTCCATCAACGTTCAAGCTGTTTCTCGCCGCCTTCAAAGCGCTACTTATCATCAACTTCAACGGGGAAAATGCGAGATCGCTATCTCTTTTTGTCACATATGCGTTGCACGACAGCCGCGCATCATATGCGAAACGGGCACTGCGACCGAAAGCGAGCATTGCTCGTCTTCGCAAAGGCACACCCCCGACATTGACACCAGAGTCTACACCACGCTCGAACAGCCCGGCACAAAGCGGCGGCAGTTCGCCACCACTATCCCTACCAGATTTGGGCATCGCCATCCTCACTCTCCTGGCGGAACTTCTCTGCGATCCTCAGAACCCGCACGAAATCGTTCGTTTTGCGAAGAATGTCACTGGAAAGTGGCTGCTCTATCTCCTTGCCGAACCTGAACAGCGAGTCGTCGTTCTTGGGGCAAAGATCTTAGCTCGACTGCTAGTGATCAATGGTTCGCACTACGTCAAGAAGTTTGGGGATAAGACAGGAGGCTTCATCTTGATGAAAAACAGGTTGCGCCACTGGTGGAATACACCAGGCATCTGGACTATCTGTTTCGCGATCCTTTTTGGTCGCGATGTCGCAACCATTGACTTCGAGCGCGACTTTGACGTCTTCAATCTGGTCGACATTTTTATCGCTCATTCACCCCAGTCTCAGCTCAGGATCTGGTACCCTGAAATATTCCCAGTAATCACCGCGATGTTGGAGACTGGTCTGCGAGCGATTGTCCGCGACCGTGACCTCGCCCGAGCCGATGATGGCACACCAAAGCAAGAGACTGAAGGCACAGTCACTCGAGGACGTCGTAGAACAATGTCGCTAAATGCCAAGCAGCCAACAGTTGGTGAGTCAAGTTCAGCCACTATGTAACAGCCATGCTAATGATTCTAGATACCCGGGCTCCTCAGACAGATCGACTGAATGACTTTGCCGTTGTTCTGAACTCTGCTATCCAGTTCCTGTCTGAGCTACATTCACGATCGGAAGGGTTTCGCGACTACACTCACTCTTCCAACTACGTTCAAGAACTGCTCTTCGTCCTCTATCCAGTCATTGTCACATCTGACAGTGTTAGCGCTGAGACGGAATTACTTTCAAGAGGGTCCGCACTGACCTTCGAGGGCCAAGACGTTGTGATCCGACCACTTTCCCGAGCCAACGGGCATGAAGCGCCTGTGGTTCGCACGACGAACGTTGACGTATCACCTTCGCCTGCGTCTCGACGCGTATTACCTTTCCGCAGAGCGTCATCATTTGTGCTCGTCTCGGCGGATAAGAAGAAGGCCGCTCAGCAACCTTCTCTCAACCCAATACTATCACCAAAGTACGCTGCTCCCTTGGCACTAAAGGTTGGTAGCTCCGTGGTAGAAGCAACTTTGGAAGTTGTTCTCGACGTGTTCAAAGATCAGATATTCACACGCAAAGAGTTTCCTGGCTTGGGTCTCTTCCTCAAGACGCCTCCCGGCTTTCAAGAACATCAAGCATATTTCGAGTCATACATTCTTCGGCAAACGCTCTCGTCCGTCAAGAATGCGCTTCAGTTTGATCAGCAATTATTGCACGAACCGCGCGTTCTCCTCAATTTGCAACGCTTTGTGGTTCACGTGTCCGAAGCGGTCTTCGAGGGATGGTTTCTTGAAGGCGCAGAGTCCTTGCTCGACTTCGCTGGCTTCCTCCTAGAATATCTCGAACGTCCGGATATTGCGACTATCAAGTCCGTCAGACTGTGCACGCAGCCTATCTCATCAATTCGTAACACTTTCTTGAGAGTTGCTCTGCTTCGTTTGGCGGAGTCTGATGAGTCAGAAAGTGGTGCAACTACCACGGCAGTCATCGAGAAGATGATGTATTGGCAGCCTATCATTCTTTCTTCTGTCAACAACGAAACATTCTCGTTGAAGATGATCTGCTATCTTCTCTACACACAGTTGTCGTCTGAACACACGGACGTGCGTCTTGCGGCGGCGAACTTCTGGAGGTCGCTCATGGTGCAAAAGCCTCACGAAACATCTATGATCTTGGCCGATGCCATCCACGGCGACACCAAAGATCTCTACGATGGCTTTCAGAAGCTTGTCGAACTTGATAACGAAACATTCCTAGAGTGGCTCGATAAGAACAAGACCGAGATGGATAAGTTCTTCTATGGCTCAATGACTAAATCGTGGGAAGACTTTGCGCAAAGCCAAAACAAGAAGACCGAAGAGACTTCTCAGAGGCGAATCGCCAAGCGCAAGGAGAAGCTGAAGCAGTGGCAATCTGATGAGCTTGCCGCGGATAATGTCTGGAATCACCATGAAAACTCCACAAACCACTGGAGATCCAACATACACGCATCTGAACGCATCAAGCACCAGCGCGTCCTTCAAGACCAGCAGGATAATGCTACTTACATGGCGACAGTTTTGGCCAAGCTTGACCACCAACTGAAAGGCCCATGTGGTCTGTTCGAAGACAGTCCACCTGCCAGATGGCGGCTCGACGAAACCGAGGGTCGTGATCGAAAGCGTCTACGTATCGTTGTCGACAACACTAGCAGAGAGCAGTCGTATCAACCTAAACGCAAAGACACAGATCCACGAGAGCGACCCAGGTTGGATACCACTGTGCCAGCAATTTCGGCGAAGGAAGCTGTTGGTGCCACCCCTGTCAAGGCGCGATCGACTAGGTCTGCCTCTTCCGTGAGTGCATCGGGTGATCCAACGGAAGAACCAGAATCTGCTAGCGACGACGACTTTGAGATGGTCGAAGCTATGTATGAAGATGAGGATGGCTTCGAAGACAAGAACCGCAAGGTCATGCGGAGCCTTAACCGCGGCGATCAGGTGCAATACGTTTGCAATATCTCTCGGGTAGTCGGACTGGAAGCAATAGAGGGCCTCCTCATCGTAGGAAAGGACTGTCTTTACTTGCTGGACGACTTCTTCCAAAGGTCAGACGGCGAGATCGTACGCGTGTGGCAGGCGCCGCCCGATGAGCGCGACCCCTACGTTCAAGTCATAGCTGGCAAGGAAGCTGTCACTACCCGTCGCCCACCACCAAGGAGCCAAGAAGATGCGGTGAGAAATTGGAAGTGGACTGAGGTTATTAGTATTTCCAAGCGGCGCTTCCTTCACCGCGATGTTGGAATCGAAGTCTTCTTTGATGATGGCCGTAGCTACCTTCTCACAGCTGTCTCTGCCCAGGCTCGAAACGACATCCACTCCCGGGTCCTACAACGAGCTTCGCATGTCGCGAATCCGGACAAGCATGCCAACTCTGAGATATCCTGGCGCCTTGACTCCCTGCGCAACCCGGAAGAAGCACCACAGACATTTGGATCGCGCTTCGCATCAGCATTTGGTTCTGCTTCCGCTCATCCGGCGACCAAGAAGTGGCTGAAAGGAGAGATGTCCAACTTCCATTATCTGATGTTCGTCAATACACTCGCTGGAAGGACGTTCAACGATCTGACCCAATACCCGGTCTTCCCGTGGGTGCTGTCGAACTATCACAGCGAAGAATTAGATTTGAGCGACCCGAGCAACTTTCGAGACCTCCGCAAACCTATTGGTATTCAGGATCCTAAGCAAGAGCACCTCATTAGAGAGAGGTTTAGCTCGTTTGCCGAGATGGGAGACGCTAGTCACGCCTTCCATTACGGAACCCATTATTCGTCCGCCATGACCGTCGCGTCGTATCTGATGCGACTTCAACCCTTCAGTGCGGCCTTCTTTCTCATTCAGGGTGGCACATGGGATCACGCTGACCGAATGTTCTACTCGATCCAAAATGTCTGGGACTCGGTGTCCGCGAAGAATATGGCCGACGTACGCGAGCTCACCCCAGAGTTCTACTTTCTCCCTGACTTCTTGACCAACGTCAATGGGTACAACTTTGGTCTGCGATCCGATGGCTCGAAGATCGATAACGTCCAATTACCTCCGTGGGCCAAGGGCGACCCGGCCATATTTATCGCCAAACAGCGCGAGGCTTTGGAAAGTCCTTACGTTAGCCAGAACCTGCATCATTGGATCGACCTCATCTTCGGTTACAAGCAGCGAGGCGAAGCAGCAATCGAGGCTGCAAATGTCTTCCACTACATGACATATCAGGGTGCAATCGATCTCGATTCGATTACTGACGAGAAGGAGCGCGCACAGAAGATTAGTGTTATCAACAATTTTGGACAGACGCCTCCACAGGTTTTCCAGCGACCGCACCCGCAAAAAGAAAACGTCACGAAACCTACCAAGCTCGACACTTCTGCAGAGAGCTTACATCGGGTTCCCGGCACGCTACTGGAGTCTAACGATCGCATCTCATCTCTCAACTACATCAGCAAGAGCGACAAGCTCCTTTGCTCAGCACCATTTCGGCACAACATACCGCCGCATCATGATCGTTACATGGAGTGGGGTTTCACGGATGGCAGCGTGCGCTTCTATGATTCACACTCCAAGAAGCTCATCGGGCTGTTCGAGCATTTACACTCTGGCCAGCTGACAACTTCCCTCTTCGTTGACGGTAGAACCCTCATCACTGCAGGAACAGACTGTACACTCGCGATTTGGAACATGAGCAAAGCTGAAAGAGGCCACATCGACCTGCAGAACGCCACAACGCTATTCGGCCACAAGTCATCCGTCATCACACTCGCCGCAAGCCGCGCATTCTCTGCATTCTTGTCCGCATCACTGGACGGGCGGGTCTTCCTCTGGGACCTGAACCGGAATGAGTTTGTTCGCGAGCTCGATCTAGGTCCAAGGCAGAAGCGCAACCCAGTACCGATTCAAGCGGCTAGGATCAATAGCGTCACAGGACACATTGTACTTGCTTGCGGAAGCCGACTCGTCGTCACGACACTCAACGGTGCAGTGCTGCTTGACGAGGATATCTGCGATAGCGAAGACGACGCAGATGGCATCACAGCTGTCGCTGTGTATGAGGGTGTGGGAAATGAGTGGTGTGAGCGCGAACTCATCTTCACTGGACATCGTAGGGGTGTCGTCAAAATCTTCCATCTAACGCCAACACCCCCGACCATCACCACTCCAACCTCAGTACCCAGCAAATGGTCTGCGAACCTCATCAATGTGCTCAATCACAGTGATCCAACGTCTCCCTCGTCTGCGGCACCCATCACGTGTATATTGCCGATGCCTCACCATGTCTATACCGGCGATGAGGAGGGCAGAGTGGTAAGTCAAGAACCTTTTCATCCTTCATACGCACGTTCCGCTAACGTCTCTCTGCAGTACGAATGGGATTGCGTGCACAGACATCATTGATCCTCACTAAGCACACTCACGAACATGTGAGTAAGTGGCTTTTGGTATAGACATGGCACGGTGTTTTGGATGCTGTTCGCATTGGCGTAAATAGCTTGATATGTGGCATTGAAAGGTGCATTGCGGATACTGAATAGACAACGTTTTCAATACACCATCTTACCATTGTCGATGCAACGCAGTCTTGTTCCATCCAACACCCCATCTTGAGTCTACCGGAACTATTTACGGCTTTCGGATAAAATGTCCGCTCGCTAGCCTGATGATTGATCAAATGATGCAGGTGCAGAGGCAGTACGCGTGTTGCGCTCGCTGGCGTGTCGCTTTGGTCTTGTGATCATGCTTATCTGGCGTTTGCTTGGCGTGCTTGTTTGGCTAGGGAAATCCGTGCACTTGCATTGCTGGCGACCTGATCTCCCGTGCATTACATTTCTGACTAAGTAAACCTACGTGGCTGGCGAGATCATGATGTTGGACGCCTCGTATCTTGAGGTATCGAAGCTAGTATGATGTTGTTGGTGCATCTGTTGCTAGACAGTCGCCATATTCGGTGTGCCTTATCAGTGATTGATTATTCAGCACATGGGTACTTGAGATGACGTATCTGTGCGTGTTCTTGGAAGAGCCATTATCCCGTCTCGACATTCGTTGGTGCGTGTATGTTAGGTGTGAAGGGTTCGATGTTAAGGGCTCGTTGCAATGACGCCAAGTCATGCCAAGTCCTGGAGTATCACACTCTAGTTGAGCCGCAAACACTATAAGGGTCTCGTGCCCCTTCTAGATCACTGGAAATAAGCCAAATATCGTCTGCTTTGAGAGTTGGCCTTCCTTAATTGCGGGGTTCAGGGAAAGGGTACACATGAGCTAGCCCCGTAAACAGCTAGCTCGTGGGGGAATGCGATCCGCACCTGCCCGAACACAGCATGACCCCACTATTAGGCAGCGTGCTTTGAGCCAATCCCAACGGATTAGCACGTCATTTTTCGCCTTAAGTCTGGGTCGTCGTCGCGCCGCCGTCGCTCTTTCGCAACTCCAGAACGACGCGATATCCCGAGCGACAAACCGAACGATACATGGAGTCGCCGGAAACGCCCGCCGTCCCAGAGACTGCTGCTAAGAAGCGCAGAAGACCAGTCAACGGTACGCGACATGGCCTCTTTATATGGCGATAGGTGTACTAATAGAGTTTCAACAGCCTGCGCTACTTGCCGTGCGAGAAAGGTAGGATCTCATGGTCTCTTCTATACCATTTCTCTCTTTAGAGACCCATACCAAGGCAATGGGTATCCTACGAGGGACCACCAGGTTGTCGTGATGGTCATAGTTCTGGCGTCGGGGCCTAGGACATCCGGAAAACCATAAATCAGGGCCGAACGTAGCTGACAATCATCTAGGTTAAGTGCGATGAACGCCCAAACGGCTGTCTGAACTGCGAAAGGCTACAGCTAGACTGTGTGCAGAATGGCGGTGTTTCCACCGCTGCGAAGAGACCAAGCACGGCGTACGAGCCCGTTGTAGGCATCAAGCGTAAACGTACATTTCGATCCTGCATTCCCTGTCGAGACTCCAAAGTCAAATGCTCCGGCGAACGACCGAACTGCATAAGATGCCAGCAGCGCAGAACCTCATGTGTATACGATGCTGAGCAGGTGGAGCCAGCCTGGGTACAGAGCATTGCGACTCCTGCCTCAGACACGCACGCCGATTCCGTAATGATACCGCCACACACTCCCCGGGATTCTCAAGAGCCTTCAAGGATACTCGGCTCACTGTCGAATAGCGAGCCTGCTGTAGCAGGGTGTCCGCCGGGCCTACTATGGTATGCTTTACGAACTCACTGGCGTGCATCGGACTTACGAATATGCACAGGTTGTTTTCCCAGCAGCTGCCACCCAGAATCAAACTTCATGCGTTGTTAGATGCTTACTTCAACAACGTCCACCCCATCCGCGTGTTTGCGTTCGAGCACAAGCCATCGTTCATTCGAATGCTAGACGAAGGACAGCTCGTGGATGCATCCGATCAAGCCCTCTTGCACATAATGTGTGCATTGGGTGCTCGATTCTACGCTCTCGACTACAGTGAGTCGTTCTCGCCCTTGACGAAAGATCTGATCCAGTCAGCCGGAAGCCAATGGGCTAAAGTCGCGGAAGAGATGTTTTTCGCTGATTACAGCACCATTTCAATCACAAAACTCAAGGTCTTGGTCTTGCTTCACGATCAAGAAGCTCGCAATGGCAACTATGCTGGGTCTTTTCTTCTTACCGGCCTTGTCATACGTATGGCACATGCTCTACAGCTCAACAATGAAGTGTCACCAGATGTGCTTTGTAAGGAATTAGGAGGAAGTCCAAACGAGGTTTCTGTGCGAGAGTCGCGTAGAAGACTCATGTGGGCGTGCTATATGATTGATGTCTGGGCTGGTAGTGGCGTCGACCACCTCACTATACTCAATGAAAGAGACCTCAAGATTCAGCTTCCGTGCAACGAGCGTCAGTTCTCACTACAGATCCCGTGTATTACGGAGCGGCTCGAGAGGGGCACACTATTGGAACTCATGTCCCCAGAGGACATTCCAGAGAAGCCGGCGGATAACCTGGGTATGGCTGCGTACTATGTGCGTATCGTCAGCATCTGGCGACGTGTTCTTCGGTGAGTGTGGATAGGACATGCTCGCGAGTCTTGATTGCTGACTTGGATTAGGTTTGTGAAGCACATGGACGAAGAACAACCGCCGTGGCTTCCAGAGTCAGGATTTGCCGTCCTCATTGAGGATATACAGTCGTGGAAACAAAGTCTGCCATCCTGGCTAGACTTCTCCGCGGACAACATCTACATTCGGCGCGAGACACATCAGCTAGGTGCCCTCCTCCTCATCCACTGCATGTACCATCACGTTATGTGCGACGTCCACAGGATCGCTCTCCCTGACCTGTTCAAAAACCAGGAGCCGTTCGTCTTCCCTACTGATCGACAGGCGTTCGTAAGTCATCTGCAAGACGTCTGCTTTGAGCATGCGCAGCGTATGTCGGTCCTAGTCTCACACATACTCCAACACGGGGTCAAACACTTTGCGGACTCCATACTGCCGTCTTTTGTTTACAACAGTAGTCGCATCATGCTCTACTACATCGCTCGGATTCTGGACGTATCGAAGCCCGACGCAGGAACTGTCATTGGTCGTACAGTCGAGCTAGTGCAGTACAACAACCAGGCGTTGCGGGAGATGGCATTCATGTACCCACTTGCTGAATCGTTATGTATCACCTCCGAGCGCTGGTTGGAGACTGTACGCGACAGTCTGGCTCGTGGTCACTCTGCTGACTACATTGCGCCTCAGGATCCATCAGAAAATGAAGCACGGCGCATTGTCGGCGCGCCTGCACCGATGGCTGGCACTCCTAGGCAGCGAAATGCGGCCATCTCAGTTATTCCTCCTGTCGAGGAGATACTCTCGGCAACTTCACCCTCAACTCTTCGCACAGCTACTACTCGCTATCCTTTCTCAGCGCCTACCACTGGCCACGGTTCTTCTACCGTAACATCAGGCCAGGCCATGACAACACCATCCGAGAATGCAGTAGGGACCATGTACTCCTCCCCCAGCGCGCCAACTGCTTTCGAGCAGCCCATGTTCAACCTGGACGACCTCCAGAATTTCTTCGGATGGGAAGCAAGTGATGATGAGAATGCGCAGTCCACTGGGTTTGAGGGCTTTGGTCCCTTAGGGTGGGCAAATAATTTCTCCATCATGTAAGTGAGTATTGTATCTGAAAGTTACCTGCTGGGCGTTTGGGCACGGTCTTTCTCATGGTATACCTCCTCTCTTCCGCTAGCATCGACGCGGTAGGTTCTCGGCCATTTTGATTCGTAACTAGAATGATTCCTCTTTAGGAGCAATATTAACTTTCTAAACGCACTTTGACTGGCCATAGTGGGTAGCTAACTCAGTACCATCGTGATTCGAGTGGTAAGGTGCCGCTTATCCGCGCAGCATGGTCCAACAGTGATGCAACTAACGGACACCGACATGCATAGTAACAGCCAAGCCCAAAAGTCGGGTATTTGGTACTTTGCCGCTCTACCAAGGCTCTTGGTAAAGGCATTTATATGTATGAGACTCATCCTGACCACCTCGCACCAGCACAGCCCGTACCTCGACATGAGCGACACAATACCATTAACTAGCGCATTGAGCGCAAGACAAGCTGCCCTCAACAAATTCGTACAACAAAACTGGTACTATTGGCGCTATCTTTACATACCCGGGACCTCCCTCTTCATGCTTGGTTCCCTCAGCCTCGCGTATGCGGTACATCTGCATCGAGCGCGCCCGCACGAGCTCCCCAAACCTCGGAGAATATCCTCGTTCCTGTTGTACGTGCTGGGACATCAGCTACTACTATACGGTATTCTGATCTGTTCGTTCTGGTATATGCTCAAGGATGAGCGTCCTGGATCGGGAGTCGCCCGCGCTGATGCCGACAAGAATGCCCTGGGATCGATTAAGCAGAACGACCACGCCTTGGGTAACGGCCCCGACTATCTCTTGGAAAGACATGTAGTTCCATCAAACAATGCTCGCGCTATCCCGCTAGTTAGGTCTGCTATCACTGTAGCAGCTTCGGCTTTGGGCGTCGTCGCCGTGGTGGCCCGATATAACTGTCTAGACAGCGAGTGCCCATCTCAACGGATATGCTACGTAGTGAGCATTGTATGCATTACAATCGCTTTTTCAAGGTGTTTTTGGGTTTTCTCGAGTACGTTCGCAAGATTCGGACATACATGAGGAAGAACGCGGACTGGACCGGAGGATGAATCCGAGCTAAGGGTGGGTTGAATAGGGCACCCGAAGAAGGTAGATGCGAGAGTGTTGTGGTGTATCTAATAACTTATTCATTGAACTTCATAAATGTTACTTGCCCCGCAAGCCCATATGCCAGTCTTGGCGTAACGAGTGATCGGCTACCGAGAATATGTCCAACCATGCTTCGCTGCCC